AGTTCCAGCCTGCTCCACATCCTTCCCAACACTTGGGTATCATCAATCTTTTTTTTTTTTTTTTTTTTTGGAAGACTGAGCCTTGCTCGTCGCCCGGGCTGGAGTGCAGTGCGCGCGATCTCGGCTCACTGCAAGCCTCGCCTCCCGGGTCCTGCCATTCTCCTGCCTCAGCCCTCCCGAGTAGCTGGGACTACCAGGCGGCTGCCACGCAGACTCACACAATAGGTGGCTTTTCCTTTCTGGCTTCTTTCACTTAACATGGTTTCAAGGCTCTTCATGCTGTAGCATGAATGGGTACTTTATTCCTTTTAATGGCTGAGTAATATCCCGTTGCATGGATAGACCACATTTTGTTTAACATCACCTGACGGACATTTGAGTTATTTCTACTTTTTGGCTATTACAAATGGTGCTGCTATGAATATTTGTGTACAAGTTTTTGTGTGAACACATTTTTTTTTTTTTTTTTGAGAAGGAGTCACCCTCTGTCGCCCAGGCTGGAGTGCAGTGGCCGGATCTCAGCTCCCTGCAAGCTCCGCCTCCTGGGTTTACGCCATTCTCCTGCCGCAGCCTCCTGAGCAGCTGGGACTACAGGCGCCCGCCACCTCGCCCGGCTAGTTTTTTGTATTTTTTAGTAGAGACGGGGTTTCACCGTGTTAGCCAGGATGGTCTCGATCTCCTGACCTCGTGATCCGCCCCTCTCGGCCTCCCAAAGTGCTGGGATTACAGGCTTGAGCCACCACGCCCGGCCGAACACATTTTTTTCAATTCTTTTGTTTTGAGACAGTCTCACTCTGTCACCCAGCCTGGAGGTACAGTGGCACAATCTCCGCTCACTGCAACCTCACTGAACCTCCCAGGTTCAAGCTATTCTCCTGCCTCAGCCTCCCGAGTAGCTGGGTTTACAAGTGCACACCACCGTGTCCGGCTGATTTTTGTATTTTTAGTAGAGATGGGGTTTCACCATGTTGGCCAGGTTGGTCTCGAACTCCTGACCTCAGTTGATCTGCCTGCCTTGGCCTCCCAAAGTGCTGGGATTACAGGTGTGAGCCACCATACCCTGCCTTTTTCAATTCGTTTGGGTATATATCTAGGAGTATAATTGCTGGGCCCTGTGGTAACTCTATGTAAATGCCAAACTGTTTTCCAAAATGGCTGTACCGTTTTGCATTCCCACCAGCAATGTGTGAATGTTCTAATTTCCCCACATCCTCTTTGGATTCATTTTTTATATATGGTATGTGGCAAAGGTCAAGATTAATTTTTTTCCAATATGGATATCCAATTACCCAGCACTATTTCCTGAAGAGACTCTCTTTCCTAAAATGAATGATGCCACTTTGGTCATAAATCAAGTGTCTACATACGTGTAGGTCTATTCCGCAGCTCAGATCTGTTCTATTGGCCTATTTGTCCCTGGGGCCAGTGCCACACTGCTCTAATTACAATACTATTACAATAAGCCTTGATACCCTGAGCTTTAACTCCTCCAATTCTGTTCTAAGATTATTTTAGCTCTTGTCTTCTGTATTTTCATCTAACTTTTAAAATCATCATATCAATTCATACACACACACATACCCCTGCTGGGATTCTACTGTATCTATAGATAAACTGACACAGTAATTAGGATTGAATTCTATCTACAGATTAATTTTGGAATAATTTACCGCTTCTTAAATTGTTATTTATTTTTTATTGGGCAGCCTCCTCAGCCACAGCAGGCTCAGACAGACTCCACATTTCTTTCTTTTCGAGTCTTTCTTATCAATGAACATCAGCGATCCTGTCATTTTAAAGGTCTTTGTGGATTCTGTGTCTTAATATTGTACAGTTTTCTGTGTAGAAGACTTGTACATTTTTGATAGATTTACTCCTAGGTATTTAACGTTTCCTGATGTTATTATAAATGGTTTCGTTTAAGGCTGGGAGCTGTGGCTCATGCCTGTAATCACAGCACTTTGGGAGGCTGAGGAGGGTGGAGTTTGAGACCAGCCTGGGCAACACAGGGAGGCAGACTCTGTATCTACCAAAAAAAAAAAAAGCCAGGTGTGGTAGCACATTTCCTGTAGTCCCCGCTACTTGAGAAGTTGAGGCAGGAGGACGGTTTGAGTCCAGGAGTTGAGACTGCAGTGAGTTATGATTGTGCCACTGTACTCACTCCAGCCTGCGCAACAGAACAAAAAAAGAAAAAAGTATTTCACTAAAAAAATGTTCATTTTTACATTGTTTGCTGCTGGTATATAGAAATGTATTTTAAAACACTTTCCTTACAGCCAGCAACCTTGCTAAGTTTATATTCTTTTTTTTTTTTGAGATGGAGTCTCTGTCACCTAGGCTGGAGTGCAGTGGTGCAATTTCAGCTCATTGCAACCACCCAGGTTCAAGCAATTCTCCTGCCTCAGCCTCTCAAGTAGCTGGGATTACAGGCACGCGACATCTCACCTGGCTACTTTTTGTATTTTTAGTAGACACAGGGTTTCACTGTGCTGGTCAGGCCGGTCTTGCACTCCTGAACTCCCGATCCGCCTGCCTCGGCCTCCCAAAGCGTTGGGATTAAGGGTGTGAGCCACTGTGCCCGGCCTGCTAAATTTATATTCTAACAGTTTATCTGTAGATCCTTTTAGATTTATCACTCATAATCACATATTCCATGAAAAATGGCAGCTTAGTTTCCTCCTTTCTAATCTGTATATATTTTGTTTCTTTTAAAAATACTTTATTTTTTGCCTGGTTGTCCCAGCCAGGACTTCCGACAACACGGGACAGAAATGGTGAGGGCGGACATTCTTGTCTTATCCTTAATCTCAAGGGAGCGAACAGCTTTCATAGGTGAACACAGCCATACGACTAACTAATGACCCTGCAAATCAGGGATGAGCCCGCAAATCAGGATGCTCTGAAGATCACAAACTAGCAAGAAGCATGATCCACATCGGTGTGGGTCAGTTCCACATATGCCCTTGCAACCGCTCGAGGACTCTGGGGCCCAAAGATAAGTAACTCACTTCATACAGCACTCAGAGAACAGAGAGCAGAAAAATGTCTCCCATCCCAGCTTCGGCATAAGTGTCAGAGCAAAACCTCCACTCAGGACCTGGCATCCTTGTGGCAAGGCAGACACAGCTGAGGTGGGGCTAAGTCTTAGCTTCCAACGCCACAGCTTTTGTTCAAGTTTGGATGGCAGCCGCTCCATGACCGGAGGCAGCGTCTGTCTCAGTCTGGGAACACGGCTGAGCTGACTTGATTCTGATGGTCCTGCTGCCTGAGTCAACACGCCTTCAGCCACATGGCTGCTTGCATTTCAAGACCCAGACATCAGGGCAAATACAGGCCCGGCTAAACCTCAACTCAGGTGAGAAGCCTTCAGGGGCCACGTTGCCGTGTAGTTCCCACCCACGCCCTTCCCCAGTCCGGGCCTGTCAAGACCCGCACTCCCTATCGCCCATCGGCACTGGCCCGGGGTCTGAGGAAGTAAAACTCCAGCTCCAGCAGACGGTTTTCTCATCCACACCTCAAAACGGAAGTAAACAGAGGATGCTGATTGTGGCTTTGTTAAAAAAATAACAATGGATGTAAGCACTGGATGAACTGGCATTTTTCTGAAGACATTGGCTTTGGGTCTGAGCTTACTATAATTAATAAAATACTTTTTTTTTTTTTTGCAGGGGAGATAACGTCTTACTCTGTTGTCCAGGCTTCAGTGTAGTGGCACGATCACAGCTCACTTCAGCCTGGGTTCAAAGAATCCTCCCACTTCAGCCTCCTGAGCAGCTGGGACTGTAGGTGTGGACCATTGTGCCTAGCTAATATTTTATTTTTTTGAGAGATGGGGTTGCACTATGTTGCCCGGGCTGGTCTTGAACTCCTGGCCTCAAGTGATCCTCCCATCTCAGCCTCCTTCAACAGATTCATTTCTTTTTTTTTTGTTTTTTTAGGATGTGATCTCTTCTGTTGCCGCAGGCTGGATGTGCAGTGGTGGCGATCTTGGCTCACGTGGCAAGCTCCACCTGCACCTTCCAAGTGATTCTCCGTGTCCTCAGCCTCCCGAACAAGCTGGGATTACAGGGCATGCATTCACCACACCTGGCAAATTTTTTTTTTTTTGAGATGGAGTGTTTGGCTCTGTTGGCCGCAGGCTGGGAGGCGAGTGGGTACGGATCTCGCTCTCTGCAAACCCCACCTCCGGGGTTGAGGCGATTCTCCTTGCTCAGTCTCGCCGGAAGTAGCTGGATTATCAGGGCACCACCACTACGCGCTGGCTAATTTTTTGCATTATTTAGTAGAACAGGGATCACCATGGTTGGCCAGGGCTTGTCTCAAACTTCCTGACCCTCAGGATGATCTGCCCACCTCGGCCTCAAAAGTGTTGGGATTACAGGCGTGAGCTATCATGCCCGGCCGGTATCCCAAGGTTTTCGTTAGTTTTTTTTTTTTTTTTGAGATGGAATCTCACTTTGTCACCCAGGCCGTAGTGCAGTGGTGTGATATCGGCTCACTGCAACCTCCGCCTCCCAAGTTCAAGTGATTCTCCTGCCTCAGCCTCCCGAGTAGCTGAGATTACAGGCGCCTGCCACCATGTCCAGCTAATTTTTGTATTTTTAGTAGAGATGGAGTTTCACCACGTTGGCCAGGTTTGTCTCAAACTCCTGACCCCAGGTGATCCGCCCGCCCAGGCCTCCTGAAGTGCTGGGGTTACAGCATGAGCGGCCATGCCCAGCTACCTCTTCTTACTGGAGTGTGAGCACTAGGAGCAGGGCCCTTTCTGTGGTGCTTGCTGTGTTATACCCTGCACCCAGAACTTAGTAGGCATTCAAACAAAATTTTTAAAAATAAACGGAAGAATGAATTAAGAAACCTTCCGGGTAAGTCATCATACTGTCCTCAAACAGGGGACATCATCAATTTTATTCCTGCCAAGTAGATCTGGACCATAAGAACATGTGCTTGATCTACAACAAAAGCTGCCAGGCAAATGCCTGGTACTAAGTTCATCTCACCTGTTCTGCTCCCACCATGCTGATTGGCTTGCACTTGAAGAGGTGGGTGATGAATTTGGGAATGAAGGAGCTGTGGATAAAAAAGAAGTGACAAATTAGGCTTATTCTTTCTTGAGGAAACAAATGCAAAAACTTTTTTTAAGGTTCCACGTATCTCCATGAAAAAACCTTTTTTAATGAAGAATCGAAGTGGACTCCACTGTCGCCCACCAGCACCCATTACCTTATTTTTCTTCTGAGCGAAGCCCTGGTTTTTGGGTTTGTTTAGTTACATGAGGCCCCGGCAGGCCCGGGAAAACCGGATCCATCTTAGACCCCCAGTGAACTCTAACTATTCTCAGCTGGTCAGAGCACGGCATTCCTTTGGTGACTATTGTGTGTCCTGAGAGGGGATACGATCGAAGCTGGCCCAATCAGACTGGATGAAAGGACTACAGGCACTGCACCTGGCTAATTTTTAATTCTTTTGTAGAGGCAGGATTTCGTTACGTTGCCCAGGCTGGGCTCAAACTCCTGGCTTCAAGTAGTCCTCCTCCCTTGGGCTCCAGAAGTGCTGGGAAGACAGGCGTGAGTCACTGAGCCTGGCCAGGCTTCCTTGATTCTTCATTCTCCGTCTCCAGCCTCATCCTGCTAAGCCCTGGCCTCCCTAGGCTTCAGCCCAACCGAGCTGCTTGCAGATCCCAGGATTCTGGGGGCTATTTAATGCCTACACTGCTCCCTCCCTTTCCTAGAAGGGGCTCGTGGGTCAGTACACACGCACCTCTCAGATCCTGTTCAATGGCGTCTCTAGAAAGCCTTTCTTCCATTGCCTTCGCCGTACTCTCCATGGAGTCCGCAGGCCTCCACCCTCACATCTAACCTACTTCATTATGCTCATTTGCTTACGGGTCCATTTTGCTTCACCTGACTGTTAAGGCATATGAAGATGGGGGCCATGTTTATTAGGCCAAAGCATTTAACGCTGGTCTGAGACATAGGAGACGCTCAAGTGAACGCACACTGAATAAATCATACTTTTTTTTTTTTTTTTTTTTTTGGAGACAGAGTCTCGCTCTGTCACCCAGGCTGGAGTGCGGTGGCGCAATCTTGGCTCACTGCAAGCTCCGCCTCCTGGGTTCAAGCCGTTCTCGTGCCTCAGCCTCCTGAGTCGCTGGGATTACAGGCACCCACCACACCCGGCTAATTTTTGTATTTTTAGTAGAGAAGGGGTTTCACCATGTTGGCCAGGCTGGTCTCGAACTCCTGGCCTCAAGTGATCCACTTGCCTCGGCCCTGCAAAGCGCTGGGACGACAGGCGTGAGCCGCCGCGCCCGGCGCCCGGCCGCCTACCACGCTCTGAATGTCAGCTTGGTATCAGCACTTTACCGAGAAGTTACTATGTGATTTCTCATTTTACCCTCCCAACCACTATTGTGAGATTTGTCTCATCATCTCCTCCATGAATGGAGGAGGATCAGCTCTGTGGATGAGGGAAGCTGCTTGTGGTTCAACTGCAGTTTCCACCAGGCTATGGATTCTGATGTCTCAGTAGCAACAGCTGCTATTGCTTAGACAGCAAACAGAGGTAAAAGGAAACATCTATGGTTTTGCATGGGTGGGGTAGAAAGCAAGCTAAGGGAGAGGAAACTGGAGTCCGGAGATCGGATCTGGAGGTGACTTGTGATCAGGAAGGAGAATAAACAAGGGGCTATTTGGAAGGAATTCCTCAGTGCTGGAAACCAGAGCCAGACAAGTAACGTGAGACTGAACTCATGACCAATGGCAACTGTGCACACAATGGTTTGTAACCTAAATTGCTTCACATTAGAACATGCTCTGGGCTGGGTACAGCAGCTCATGACTATAATCCCAGCACTCTGAGAGGCCGAGGCAGGCGGACTGCTTGAGCCCAGGAGTTTGAGACCAGCCTGGGCAACATGGCAGAATCTCATCTCTACAAAAAATAGAAAAATTAGCTAGGCAGGGTGGCAAGCACCTATAATCCCAGCTATTCAGGAGGCTGATGTGGGAGAATCACCTAAGCCCAGGAGATGGGGGCTGCAGTGAGCTGTGATCGCACCACTGCACTCCAGCCTGGGTAACAGAGTGAGACCCTGTATCGAAAAGAAAAAAAAAGCTTTGGCTGTGCCCCTGAACCGGCTGTCTGTACCACTCTACAGGTGGGGTGGGGGGAATACGAGGACCTGACACGTGTCCTGTGGGAAGAAGACCAAGCAGTGTGCTGGGTAACTGCCAAGGGCTTCTCTGGGCCATCAGGGCGGTGGTGGCTGCTGCCCTTGGCCAGGGAAGGGTCTCCTCACAAGCCCACCTCTGTTAAGCAGGATTTTACCAGGATGAGAAGGCACCATGGATGAAAACAGAAAACCACTTCCTAGATCCCAGGCTGAACAATTCCAGATGTGAGGATGGGCATCCAATTCCCAGTACACTCAACCTGGGCTTAGCAATGAAATTCAAGGGCTCTGAGAGAATGTGAGGCTGGTGCTGGGAGACGCTGGGACTGGCTAAGTCAACCGGCTCCTCCTTCACTTAACGTATAAGCTCAATGATATGACTGAGATGGGAGACGCTGGGACTGGCTAAGTCAACGGACTCCTCCTTCACTTAACAGAAACTCAATCAGACCCCAGAGCAGCCACCCTGGAGATTTTCAGTCACAGTAAATTTTTACAGAGACGCTGCTTCCTCCAGCAGTTATGGGGAGTGTCACAATGTGATTTATCAGCAGCGCTTCTTACACGCTAATGGGCACCCAGGGAGTGAGGGAATTCCACCTCCTGGTCTGTCTGCCATCTGCAAACAGTAATGCCTCCCTGGAGAGTCTACTCTATACTTTCTTGACAAACTAGAAAGTAAAGCTGACACCACAAGCCGCTCCGTAATCGTTAGTCCTGAGGGGTTCATTTGTGAGGCACAGGGAAACCAGGGGAGATCTGGGGAAGACAGAAACTTGGAGTCCTGAATCGCTAGCTGGGGCCTGGATGGGAACAACCCAGATACAGTAGCTTGGCCTGGGCTGACCGTCCTGAAGCCCTTCCCTGAGAAGTCTGCCAAAATGCTTGCTTGATAACTGGTCAGAGGAGACACTGACCCTCAACCCCACCTGGTAGCACGGGAAAGGGTGCTAAGCCAGATGGTGATCGGCAAAGGACCAAACTATTTCCTCGCTTCAAAACTCAGGGCAGAAATGGCCATACCCGAGGACACAGCAAGAAGATGCCGGCTCAGGGTGAACTCACCTGCCTTGGCCATGGAGCTCCCTGACTTGGGCATCCCAATTCCTAGTGCCTTCCTCGGAACAAGAGTGTGTCCAAGTATTAATAGATAAATTCTAGCAGCCATGGTAAAAAAAACCAGGGGGAGGGAGGGGAAGAAGGCTCTAAAGAAACAGAACTGATGGCTCCTACCCTTAAGAGGCATTTATAAGCCACTCAGAGAAACAGAATGCATACAGGGAATCCCTGAAAAAGGATTTTAATCATCCAATCCTGGGCAAGGGGTGCGTATGCCTGCACAGTTCAAAACAACGTAGGCCCCATTCATTTTTGTTTGCCTTGACGTGGCTGGGGACTGTACTGCTGTTACTGTTGCCTATGACTTTAAGTAGTAGATTGAGTTTTATTAGTAAGCTTCTTCTGTGTATAAATTAGAATTAGTACTGCAGGCACCAGAACGAACCCCAGCTGGATAGTGGGGACACCCAAACTGTGAGGGTGCTCGTGGGAAGTATGGCATTAAAATTAGTACTGCAGGCACCAGAACGAACCCCAGCTGGATGGTGCAGACACCCAAACTGTGAGGGTGCTGGTGGGAAGTATGGTTTTAAAAACAACCTAGTTGACCGCGACACTGAAATGGCGGCCACTCGTCACTGTCCATTTGTCCAGACCCAGGGAAGGTCCAGCACGACGTCACGGAGTACGGGTGACAAGGCCGTGTCGAAGCAGGTTCATCGACTGTAATGAATGTGCCGCTTTGTGTGGGGTGTCGGTGATGGGAAGACCGTGCATGTGTGGGGGTCACGTACACGGGAAAGCTCTGAACTTTCTGCTCCATGTGGCTGTGAACCTAAAACTGTTCTAAAACATAAAGTCCGTTAAAAAAAAAAAAGAGAGCCCAGAGATGAGAGTGCCCAGGACTCACTTTGCAAACTTAATGCAGAACTGAGTGAAGTACTTGCGTGTGGAGGCCAGGTTGTCACGGATGATGGGGACGTTCTGCTTGATGTGCAGGATGACAGAGGTGACGTAGGGGCTCTGGTCCCCAACGTGCTCCACGTTCTGCCACTGCATCTGCAAGGGAGAAAGGACGAGGTGCTGAATCCCTCGCAGGAGAACGGTGTCGCCTGTTGCTGGGGAAGGGAGCAGCTGGAGTGGAAATCAGGTCACAGCTTTGGTATCCCAGGAATCAGGTGCTTCTGTCCTGGGGAATTTCTTATTTGTTCATAGGGACTGACACTCAGGACAAAAACAAGTGTGTCCAGTGGACCCGACAGTGAGGTTGACCCAGGCCCTTTCCTTTTCCTGCCTTGTCCCCGTCATGCCTGAAACAGCCTTCCCTTCCCAGCTAAGCTACCCACACGTAAAGGATCCTGTTCTCCTGCCGAGTGCCCCACAGTAGGGGACCGCAGCAGGACAGGGAGGAACACCCCCTCCCAAGCTGACCGGCAGCCTGGGAGATGAGAGCAGTGGCTGGGCTAAATGACACGAAACCTGGAGGGGAATTCACAGACCCCTTTCTCTCCAGTCAACTGGGAGCAGTTTGGGATTCTTTAACACAGAAAACTAGAAATGATGTGACGTGTGGGGACGAAGTTACTGGGAAGAGGTGCAGATGAGATAAGATCGTGAAACTGAGTGGCAGGTACATGAGGCTGACCATATCGTTTCCTCTACTTTTGAATATATTCCAAAATTTCCATAACAAAACACTTGAAGAGGTATGCGTGTAGAATCTTATACTCCTAAAACCTTTGGGATCATGTCAGGATTTCAACAAGGGGAAGGGAAAGAGAATCTCTGGCAAACACTCAGGTGGACCAGAGGGTAAGACGGAGACATGGGGAACAGGGCGGGAGTCAGGCGAAGGGGGGAGAACATTGCTGAGAGCACCAAGGTGGTCCCTGAACAGGCTGTGAACAAAAGTGACAGACCTGCTTCAACCTGAGCCCTAACGACAGGCTCTGGAAAACACCTACAGCAAACTGGCTGGATTCCTGGACTACGGGGCACTTGGCAGCACTGAGACCTGGGAACAGAAGGAGGCAGTGCTGCAGTGTGCCATCCCTGAGGCGGCGTGCAGGAGACGGGCACAGCACCAGCTCCCAGGCTGCCCCAGGCTGGCAGGGAAGGGCACGCTAACCCCGAAGAGTGGGAATGGTCTGGGGGGTTCTGCTGAGTCAGCCTCTCACAGTGGAGCTGGACGGGCTGTTAAAGAGATCCTAAGCCAAACACAAACCATATAATATGTTCGTAGAAGGAGGTCAGTAGTTCTGAGGCCCCAGTGTCTCTGGCAAGAAAACACTATTTTTATAGAGCTCCTGGGGAAAGGAAAAATTCAATACTGAGAGAGCTTGTTTAAAAGAATCACATCGCACGTGGATGAGTCCTCAGCCGTGGGAAGCTCAAATGACTCCTAATGCTTTTTCAAATCAGTGGATATTTGTATTCTAAAAGCTTCAGCGATGTGTACACACAGAACCACAAGAAAGCAGGAAGGGACCTCCATCCTCATTTCACAGATAAGAAAACCAAGGCCCAGAGACATGAAGAGTCTTACGCAAGGCTTCATAAACCAGGCTCCACACAGGAAAAAGAACTCTAATTTATTACTGGGAAAAAACAGAAACCACCAATGAAGAAACAGTAGAAAGGTCTAATATGAACTGACTTAATACTCTAATGTTTTGGTTACGTGAAATGTTTTCCTCATTATCTTTTATCTTACGCAGGAGGCTTCTTTTTCCATTGGATTCTGAAGATTTGACCCATCCAAACAACGAGCATCCTAGGTGATTTTAAATGAGCTCACAGGGTGAGGCCAAAATTCAGGTGCTGTCAGCGTTTCCTGGGCTCTGCAGCAGGACTCGGAGCAGCATGCTCCGGGGAGACACAGCGACCTGGGAGGGTTTGACGCCCCAAAGCCCATGGACGCAACGCTCTTCCACAGAAACGACTATTACTTTCCAGGCTGGCAGCTTTGTGTATTTCAAAATCTCAAAACAGTTTATCAGCATGATCGAAACATGACAGTCCTCCATGAAAGGAGGTGGTGACGTGCTCTGTCACCAGTCACAAAGTGACTCAAGCAAGACCGAGCAGGGGCCGGGATTTCTTCAACTTCCACGGGTTATTCCGCACGCTCATCACCTAACTCCTCGACAGTCACTGGCCAGGTCGGTGCGTGTCCACATTTGGAAACACGTGGAAAGAGCTGATTTGCTTTAATACTCTGGCCAGTCACGACTCCACCGGTCAAGTTAAAACGAGTATTAGCAAAGGCCAAATGGATTCATGATTTTAAACTTAAGTCAGCTCAGTGAACTAAGAAAGGGATTTAAAGTACTAGAAAACAATAAAAAGTGACCTTATTTTTAAAATATGTGGCACGTGCCTACAGTCTCAGCTACCAGGGAGGCTGAGGCAGGAGGGTCACTGGAGCCCAGAAGGTTGAGGCTGCAGGGAGCTGTGATTCTACCGCTGCACTCCAGCCTCAGACGGCCGATGCTCGCCGTCATCCACCATGGATGACTGAAGGTTTGGGTCACAACCTGAACTGCCTGAGACAGCTACACTGAGACCGAACTTCGCAGGTCACTTTGCCCAGCCCTAAACATACATCATCTCATTTACTATTCATACATGATCTCACTTCGTTCTCGCAACAACCTTGTAGATGAGGAAATTAAAAAGGCTCAAAGAGATTTGGTATCTTGCACAAAATTTCAAAGCTGGGACAACCAGGTCCATCTAAAGCCCAAACCCCATACCAAGGTGCTTGCTAGACAACTTCCCCCCAGACCCACCCCCACCCCCCACCCCACCACCTTTGCCTGCAAAAAAGAATAAAAGCACTTAACTAGGCCTTTGTTCAAGGTAAGGCCTGTTTCTCAAGGAGAAGCTAATGAAACATAGTGATCAAGCAAAGGACTCTTTCTTTCTTTATTTTTTTATTTTGAGACAGAGTCTCTGTTGCCCAGGCTGGAGTGCAGTGGTACAATCATAGTTCATGGCAGCCTTGACTTCCTGGGCTCCAGCAATCCTCCCAGCTCTGCCTCCCAAGTAGCTGGGACCACAGGTGTACACTACTGTGCCCAGCGAATTACAAAAAAACTTTTTTTTTTTTTT